GGAGAGCAAACGTTGAAAAGGCCCAGTGGGCACCCTTACCCAGGGAGACGGAAATCCGTGAGTTAGGGGAGGTGTGACATTTTTAGGGCCGACCTTTTCTAACCCTTCCTTCCTTGTGAGAAGGCAGCATCGCTGCAGATGCTGGTTGTCCGAGGGAAACACCTTACTGCTGTCACACCCCTCTGCAGTCAGCAGTACGACTTCGCCCTCAGACCTTGGGTAGCTGCTTTTAGTCACATCGTTCTCCAATCGACCTGCCTGGCATGGTAGAACCTTGAGGAACATATGTTCCAGCCAGTATAGCTCGGTTGGGTCATCACAATAGGCAAGCCCGACCACCACGTCAAGGTAGCAGCTTCGGTCGGGACATGGGGGTTTGGGACGCTTGGATTAGAGTAGCTGTCGTGTCGCCGGATCCTTGATCCTCTCTCTCGTTTTCCGACTAAGGTAAACTCCTAATAGTTCAAGCATATCAAATGACGTGTTCACATTCATGCGTAACAGAGTTGAACTAATGCTGTCTAAACAAGCACAAAAGGCACTAATAGGGTGGGAATCTCGTGGACCCATGATCATTAAAGCATCCTTCAAAATAAAGAAAGAGGGCATTACAATGAACGTCAGATGGTCTTCGTCTATGAAAGCTACGACATTCCATGATGAAAGCTGACTTTCTTCTGAAGTCACGGGGTGCTGCCACTTTTGACAACCAGAGCAACCATTAATTAAGGTACATAGAAGGTTCCCACAATTTCGGAGACCGTAAGGACCTTTCATGTTGCTCCAAAAATCGAAAGATGACTATAACAATCAAGACAATAAAGATCGATTAAATGAGAGGCTGCAGTCGATCGTAAATAGATGCTCAGCAAAAGACTTAATCATCCTGACGAGAGACCTAAACGTCGAGGTTGTAATGAAGAACACGGGAAACACATGCATATTATGACGACATGTACTAGGATGAAGGGATGAAAATGACAAAGAATTCGTAAATCTATGTGACTGCAACAAAATTGTTGCAGGTGGAATCACATTACCGCAGCAACGTATACAAAGAAATACGCCAGCTTCACCAGACCATAATGAAGAGAACTAGCTCGGTCACAACCACACCGATCAATAATTATGAAGATCCATGGAAGACATGGGAATAAAGAGAGGAGCTGACATTGCTTCAGGTCATTACTTGGTAACAGTCAAAACGAAACGGAAACTGAGGAAGCACTGGACAACCGGGTGAACCACATCACCAAAGTGTAATACAGCATTTCTTCGGGATACTAACTCTACGAATTCAAGGTGTGGTGTGAGCTACTTATAAGTAGTATATGACGTGAGTGTCAACGTAATGTCTGGCAGCAAAATATGAGGGAAGATCAAGAAAGGAAGAGTTAGAAAACAATGGAATTTGTATGAAACGCATGAATAGTGACAATGGATTGATGTTTTGCAACAGGAACAGTCCAGTTCGATATGATGAACTGATATTTTGCAAATTAACGATTTACGATATGGTTTTTCGATTTTACTGAGTAACTCTGTAATTTTCGTTAAATACAATCCGGTTGCCCCACCTGTGTTCCCCTTCACTACAAAGGCAGCTCTCAATAACAAGTTCCAGGCCTTTCACGATCTACTCAATTTAAAGAAAACTACCGTGGAGAACAACTGGAAGGGGACTAAGGAAGCCCTAAGTTCAGCATGTGACGAGGTCCTAGGCCACAAGAAGCACCATCACAAGATATGGATCACTGTTGATACAAAGAATAAGATTCAAGAAAGTAAGAACAAGAAGGCTTCAATCAACATCAGCAGAAAAAGAGAAGAGAAAGCAAAGGCACAAGCTGAATACACAGAATTAAACAAGCCAGTGACGTGGAGCATCAAAGCTGATAAGCGAATATGTGTGAAGAACTAGCAATGACAGCGGAAAAAGCTGCAAGAGAATGAAGTATGGGACAATTATATGATACAATGAAGCAGCTTGGTGGAAAATATTATAAACCAGAAAGACCAGTGAAAGGCAAGAATCACACTACTCAGAACCAAATCGACCATATCTGTATCAATAAAAAGTTCGAAAGGAGGATGTGAGAACCAAGAGAGGAGCTGATATAGCCTCATATCATCACTTGCTTGTCTCCAAAATGAAAATGAAACCCAAGAAGCACTGGATAACGGGGTGCACATTATCACAAAATTTAATACGGCCTTTCTTCGGGATACTGACAAACTCAACGAATACAGGATAGCCCTCAGTAATACGTTCCAGGCCTATCATGCGGAAGGAACCTACCATGGAGGACAACTGGAAAGTGATCAAGCAAGCAATCACTTCAACATGTTGGGAGGTGCTGAGCCAGAGGAAGCACCATCACAAGGAATGGATCTCCGTTCATACCCTTGAGAAAATTCAAGAAGAGGGACAAGAAGGCTTTAATCAACATCAGCCCAACAAGAGCAGAGAAAACGAAGGCACAATCTCAATACACAGAAGCAAACAAGCAAGTGAAGAGGAATATCAGAGCCGACAAACGCAAATAGGTGGAAGATTTAGCGATGACGGCGGAAAGGGTTGCAAGAGAGGGAAACTTGAAACAGTTGTACGATACAGCAAAGAAGCTCGCCGGAAAATATCGTAAACTAGAACGACCAGTGAAAAGCAAGGAATGCAACGTACTCAGCAACGAAATCTCAGCACGAACACAGAAGGCTCGATTGGCTCTTGCCAACCTTTGTCACTTATGGCCTAGGCGATATATCCGTCTGCTAACGAAAGGACGAGTCTACTGCTTAGCAGTTCGTTTCGTCCTACTATATGCATGCGAAACATGGCTGGTAAGAGTAGAGGACATTCGTAGGTTATTTACATCGAATAATTTGGTGCAATAGTTTTTCAAGTCCATTTTAAATTATCTCAATAATGTTCAATAAGAATGATGGCTCAATGATTCAGTGGTCTGACGAATAATTTCTTAAGAAATTTATGCTGTCTTTAAAACTTGAATGTACTGTAGTTTTTTCATTTAAATGTGGAAATAATTTAATACATTAGTGTTATCAGATAGATTCAGTTACATTTACTGATAGACGACACGATGATTCTAATCCACTTGGACTACTGAAACAATTTAATTATACTATTTTCGATCATGGACAATAGTTACAAAGACATTACGTTTACAGTAAAATAGCATCTACAACACTTCATATAAGGTATTTAAACGGTGACATTGCAGCTCCGCTTATATACAAATACATTAAACTAAATCTTGTACATCAAAGCAAAATGGGATTAATTATTATAAGATGAATAACAAAATGACGTACATACAGCATCAACAGAAAGTGCAGTTGATGTTTCGCGACGACTCAACAATTGAAGAATGTTCAGTTTTCTTCTGCGGGTGGAAAGCATTTGATCAACTTTGTTTTGAATTTCTGACTTTGCGAAGTACGTATCTACTGCTTTCTGAGTGACAAATCCAGGCGTATCATGATTCTCAATCTTAAAGTACCGCTTTTTTGTACGATCATAGAAATAACCAGGTATATCTAGTTCTTAAAAATATAACCGCATTATAGTACCTGAAGGTTTCCACATAATACGCCGAACTCAATAGCTTGTGTACAGCAAAGTCTGCCCACAGAGGTTAATTGAAATCAATAATCCTAAAACGGTAAGACTAATCTAAAAAGCTGGTATATACCATTAAATAAATTATTAACGAATTATAAGGAATGTAATGTAGTTATTAAGGCATGGATGATGTTAAGTAGTATATGTCAAACCGTTTTTCTCTGTGGCTCGGTTGATCAGAACCACCAAATTAAGTATGCATAAACAGGCTGGCAAAAACTAGAACACTTGTATACTCAAGACCAACGAAATTAACTGACACTTATTATTCAGCACTTAGGTATATGCCCGTGCTCCGGTTTTGACCAAACTAATTGCATGAACAGAAGTGTATAGTGCAAAGTATAGCGGCTACGCTGAATGTTTTCTGCGTTTTATGAAAGTTAGTTATAGTCATTAATACCATTATTCAGCGAAAAACAAAGTGACAGAACTGAGGTTTCAATCAACGACTTAACACCTGAGAATTTACAAGAGAATTTAGAGATATTGTACAAAATTAGACAGAAAAACGTACTGGGATCCACGTGACAGAAAACAATTGTCATTGTACAGTGTGCAACTCATAGGATCCAACTGAACGCATAAGTCAGGCTCACCTGTTTCTTTGACCTGTCCTGTTCTGTATTAATTCTTTTTGTTTATACCCATATGATCTTAACTGTCTCTTCCACTGGTTACAAGACAATATCCTACTAACTGAAGATTAACACAATTAACATTAAAATTTCATGTCACATCAACGTGCCAGCTTATAACACTGAATTACTGGTGTAAGTTTATTTTCTCAGACATGAGCACCAAATCTTAGTGAAGTTAATTAATTACCTAAACCTGGTCAATATGACGCCGACATGACGCAATCTATTAGTCAAGGTTTTTGAAGCTAACGCAAGTTTGTGATCATCAATATTGCGGTGTCAGGTGTGTCTTTCCAAAATTCATCTTGTTGATATCCACCAGTGACTGATGTAAGGACATGTACAAACCGTTAGACGGTGGTCTGTTAGTGATATCCAATATGCACTCAATATAAAACTAATACCAATTTTAAAAAAAAAAGCTTTCTGCCTTATTTTATAATTCTGAGTTTACATACTAAACTATATCATTAAAGGGTATTGGTAGGGAAACAGGCGTAGAAAAGTCAGTGGTCTATGTGACGATGAACTGACCAGTAAGAGTTGCATAGTGCTCACTTCAAAATTTTGAAAACCTAACTAACAAGCTACTAAAAACAATTTAAAGTGCTTACCGAAGACTCCATCATGAGAAAGCCTCATCATACCGAACGCTGAGCATGAGCACCCTGACCTTGAGATGAGTTCAAACAGAAACGAAAAAGCGTGTGAATGAAAACCAAACTTGCGCACCTGAAGGAATCAAACTTGTAGTCGATGTAGTACTAAAGGATAAGCGAAGATATAATCATTGTAAATCACATCATCAATGATCCGCTTTATCACACTACATCACTTATAGGATTTAGCACATCTTAGTGCTCACTACTACAGGGTCAAATAGGAAAGAGCTGATGGTAGTGAGGATATATTCGATGGAACTCGTCACAGGGTCCTGACGCCATTGTAGATCCAACGGTTCTGATACAGACTGTATAATATGAATCATGTTCTTTGGTCATTTATCACTGACAACTGTTACAAGCTTTGGAGTTCCTGTGGCACTAGAGCTCGAACTGTACTTCTTCGTAGCTAAGAGCCCTCTACTTAAAACCAAGATGCGGGTCTCAAGGGACTGGAGGAATTCCATTCCACTCATTTTTAAGACTGTTACACATTTACATCGAAGTGAACAGAGACAAAGCAGTTAAATTGTCTGTTTGTCTTTATGCTACATAAAATTATAATATGTAAGTGTCTTGATTCTTTGCGCTGGACAGTGAAGATAATAGGAATAATCTGCCTACATTGATGGAAGTAACTGCTCCTTATCTTGCATTCACCGCTACCTAAACAGCTTATTTATTTCGTTTGATATTCGTTTGATAACGTCAAATACAGGTGTTTCTGGGAGAAGTGAGTATTTTACCGCAACAGGTGAGATTTCACGGTGGTAACCAGAAGACAACTGCGGTAGAAATCGTGAAGAATTTTTTGAATGCTAATATCTAAGGGCAGATCAAGTATTTATTTTGGAAATATGCATTAAAACTTTAGGCACATCTTCCGAAGATTTCCTGAAGACTGAACAAAAGAAAATATAGTCTGTGAAGACTTAGTAATTCTTATAGAGTTTTTGTACGAATGATAAATTATGGGCTGAGTTCGAGGTATCTGTTATCTGATGGCTCTTCCTTGGCTGAGAGATGGATTCAAACTGGTAGATAAGTCGCTGAAATAAAAATTTTTGTAAGTCTTCAACATTAGTTTTAGTGGACGCATCCAACCGAAAGCGCTCAGTCACGCATTCGCCGTCTTCTCTACATCACTGATTAGATAACACAGGTCCGCTGTCACGTCGACGGTGATGCAAAGGTTTACTTTCTCCCAACTAACATAAACGATTGTTTACACGATTCATTTTCAATATACTGGAGGAAACAGGAAACGGATTGTCACCTACGACATAAGGCATGTATACTTCAACGTGGGTTTCAGCAAACCCATCCACTAGATTTTTTTCAATACCAATCAGCGGTACAGACTTGCGACAACACCGTAACCTACCGGTCGCCAGGTAAAACGGAGGTTAGCAGACGGTAATACAGATTTTTTATTTTAATTATCTGGCTGCAAGTTATGACTAGTCCTGGTTAAACACAGAATCAATCCGTTCTTTTAACCAATACCTAGTAAGTATCAAAAACTGTATAAAAAGGGATCAGAATGACCGCATATTATCATCAGTATAACACATTACATAATCATTTCTGAAACACCGGTATTCCCAAAGGCTCAGTTACTAGCGTCTGGGAGACCAGAAGTATGAGCACATGGTTATTGAATGGATAAAAGAAAAGGGGAATAAAAGATCGACAAAAAGTGCACGAAGATGCAAGATGCACATAGTACTTAATAAGAGAGAAGTGATTGGACCCCGATCGGTGATTGTTTACGAATGAATGCGAAAACCGTACTCAACTGTTACTTGTTGCCTCTCACTTACAAGTTGACAGCTACCCTAAAAGGTACAACTATCTTTTCGAAAATCTACTGGATAAGGCGTGTGAACTTACCGGGGGCGGACGACATTCAAACAATATTCCTCACTCTCTTCGGACTCTACGAATTTTCGGGTGTGCCCTTCAGTCTAAGAAATGCTGCTCAAACTTTGCAGTGATTCACTGATGACGTTCTAAGAGGTTTCGACTCCGTGCATACGTATGTCGATGGCTGTCCAGGCACATGTCCTGCCGGAGAATCTCATATCCAGCATGTGAAACTTGTTTTTCAACGACTTCAAAAACATGGCATTATTGTTAACAAACAAAAATCTCAAACCGGAACAAACTCCCTCGATTCTCCCTGAAACAAAGTTAATGCTCAATGTATTAGTCTCCTTAAAAGGTGAAGTGACAGCCTTTCTGGATTACCTAGGACTGGCCAGACTCGAGCAACCGAGCACGATAACTTGATCGGTCTTTTCTGACGGTTGATACCCGACTGGGCGTTTTTTAATGAGACTTTGCATCCACCACCTATGTGGCAGTTTCAAAAACCTCAAATGCTCAGTATCCTGAGTAGAAAACTACTGACAGACACCTATATCTTTTCGACGATTGCTTTGGTAGTTCTCCAAGTTCTCCAAGAAAAGTAAATATTCTTGCTTAAAGCTGATTCGTGATTCAACAGAATAAAGCGTCGTCAATTTAATCAGTCAGGCCTTTCTTTTTCTATATCAGAACAGTTAATGTATATCTGCGCTTAGATAGGTTAGTGAAGAAAAGTCAGTAGTAAGATAACGCGTGGTGCCGGACCTTTGAAAGAATAAATTTTCAGTTATAAAATATTCAGAAACTAAGCTAAGAACATACATATTCGCTTTCCCGAAGGTCATTAGTGACTAGGCTCTGGTTTATAGGGTATGCCGAAGTTAAGGTTATTACTTATTCGACTGGATGTGTACATTTTCTCCTAACAACGGGGTATGTGCCAGGAACCACCAGTCCTTTTAAGAACTCTAGTAAATATGGATCAATTCGGTCTTGATGCGATGGAACGAATCGCATGGAATCATAACTCACAGGCCATCATTTTAAACGACCAATATTCCTGTTTTTTATAATTATTTAATCATTGTTACGTTGTTTAGCATACTCTCATCCTCCAAAACTTCAAATTAATCTATGAATCTTTGTCACATGCCTTGTTTTTCCATGCTTGCTGGTAGTGGTGAGAATAGTGGTCAACGGTCTATGGTTCATTTGGTGTTACAGGAATAATTAATTTAGTTAGAAATTAGGTAAGTAAACATGATGGATCAGTGTCTTTGATTGTGAGGGTAAGGAACGCGTAATGTAACCTGGCTTTTATAAAGGATTCGGTCAGGATTTACCATGTGTGCCCTGATAATATGTGAAATATCCCAACTGAGGTTTGGATTGAGGAATAACTGTTCGGGTAATTCTTGTCCAGTTTAAGTCCAAAACAGGTAATTGTGTAAGTAACGGTTCTGTTATTAATCATAAATATAAATATTCAGCATTACCTGAACAGTATTACTACTATTATCCCTTCAATGATAACAGAGAGTGTTTCGAATTCTGGAAGAATTCTCCGATTCACAATCGAAATGCACACTTCCAGTCATAAATACTTGTATCTTCTGGATGATAGCTTTTGTAGTTCTCCAACTTTCCGCCCAAAACAGTAGAACTCTCTTGACATTTTTATTGAAAATCATGACTTTGGTGTTGATCGATATTTGTTTGGAGTTCCAGATAATTTTCAGTTGTAGAAATGCAGCCCTTGCTTTGCCAATCCGCGCCCTCACATCTGCATCGGATCCACCTGGGTTGTCGATGATGCTGCCAAGATATGTAAAGGTGTTAACGTCCTCCAAGGAATCTCCAACAAGAATGATTTGATTGGTGCATGTTGTGTTGTATTGTAGAATTTCGCTTTAACCTTTACGTATTTTGAGTCCTGCTGGTGGAAGGCTGTTGCTACACTGGTCGTCTTTTCTTGCTTGTGTTGTCATCTGCGAAGTCTACATGGTACAGCTGCGTCCTAGTTGTCCACTGAATACCGTGCTTCCCTCCAGATGTTGCCGTCTTCATAAACCAGTCAACAAGAGAAAGAGAAAGGGTGAGAGTAGGCAACCTTGCCTGACACCGATCTTCACCTCAAACGAGTTAGTCAGCTGTTCCTCTAGCATGATTTTGCAGTTGACTCCATCATAAGAATTCCGTATAATGTTAATTATCTTCTCAGGCAAGTCGTAGTGTCAACACAGTCTCCATAGTTTTGTCCTGTCCACGCTATCAAATTCTTTTTCGTAGTCAATGAAGTTGATGTAGAGTGGTGAGTTTCATTCATTTGATTGTTCCATAATGATCCGTAATGTTGAAATTTGGTCGGTACATGATCGATCCTTACGAAATCCAGCCTGTTGTTCACGAAGTTTGGCTTCTACATAGTCCTTCATTCTGTTTAACAATACCCATTTGAAGACTTTTCCTGATATCGAGAGAGGAGTGATGTCTCTGTAGTTCTCACATTTGCTGAGACCTCCTTTCCCTGGTATTTTGATGAAGTATCCTTCTTCTTAATCCTTTGAAACTTGTTCTTGATCCCAAATCTTGCTGAAGAGATATTGGCACACCTCTGTTGTTACTGCTACGCTTGCTTCCAAGGCCACAACTTGAATGATGTATGGCCTAGCTGCCTTACCACTCTGGGCTTGTCTGATGGCCACGCTGATCTCTTCAATTGTAGGTGGGCCAACATCCATTAGGAGGTCCGTAGATGCTGCTTCGATGTTAGGTGAGTTCAGTGGAGCTGGCCGATTGAAGAGTTCCTTACAGTGCTCTACCAACGTGTTTCGCTGTTCTTCAATATTGTTGATTAATTTGCCTTCCTTGCCTTTCACTGTCCCTTCTAGTTCACGACAGTTTCCAGCAAGCTGCTTTGTTAAATCATGCGAGTGTCTCAATTTTCCCTCTAATGTAGCTTTTCCCCGTCATTGCTAGAGCTCCCACATATTTTCATTTGTCCGCTCTGGTGCTGTTCTTCAATTTCCTGCTTGCTTTCACGTATTCAGCTTGTGCCTTGACTTTCTTTGCTCTTGTTTGGCTGACATTGATTGCTGCCCTCTTGTTCCTCCTTCTTCAATTTTTTCAAGAGAACCAACAGAGATCCATTCCTTGCGATGACGCTTCCTGTGACCCAGAACCTCCTGATATGTTGAAGTGATTTC